ATACAAAATTACCAGAATGCCTAATTTGTAACTTGTATGAATAGTATTCGTGACAAGAAATTTGAGATCGTTTCTTTGTTCCATTAAGTATTGCATGAGAAAAATAGAAAAAAAAATTCATATTCAGTAACAACAGTGACATTGTAAAAATTAAAAACTGTACGAAAAATTATATGAACAAACCTACACCTCTTTTTCAATAATTTCAATTTCAGAATTTATTGTGTTAGGAACCGCAACACAATCGACCAAATTACGAGGTTGAACATTTATGTTTTTGCATCTTTGTATGCCTTCATGCCAACCAGATTCTCCTAATGAAAAAATTAAAGAATATTGCAAAAGATCATAACAACCATAATAATAATGAACTCTATGAGAATCTCAGAATGGCCATATATAATAATATCACGAATACAAGTATTTGTATTTTCATCATCCTCAACCCATACAGCAGCTACTTGAGACGCTGAAGGAGTATTAAAAACTCTCTAATCAATTCCTGGGTCACATCTTATTTGTATACGATGATTGTACAGATTTTTCATATCACTTAAAGACCTAAAAAATTTACTTTCAAGATTTCAATTAAAATAATCATAGTAGATTCAACTAAATTTTCTGAAATTTTTATGCAATTTTGAAGCTCATTTTCCGTGTCATAAAAATATAACTGTATATAAGAAGGCGTATTATTTTCTGACATAAATTTATTTATATAATGATATACTTATCCTTGAACTCTAAAAGTGAAAGCAAAGTGATTATTATATCCACGTGACAAGTTTTTGAATTCTATACATGTAGGCTCTTTTGAAGTAAATAAATCATATAATTCAGTTGGCAAATCTGGTATAAATAGTTTTATTTTTCCATCAGAGCAACAAAAATCTTTACTTTCCCAATAGAATTTACGTGCATCACAATGTTTACAATAACTGCATGTCGGTAATATATATGCAGTAATTGATATATTTAACAAATTAACACTTCCTTGTAGTTCAGAAAGATGAACATTTGTCGATTTTTCATTCGAAGTAGAAGGCTCAAATTCAAAACGTATTATATGTTGATCAACTTGAGTAGCACCTAGATTATGATTTTCAAATACTCTAGGATCGCTTACTCTTCTACGACGATCAATGCCCACAATTTGGTTTTGATTCCTTCTGTCCGCCTGTCTTTGACTTTTTTGTTGATGAATGAAAGCATTACACGATTTACTTGTGCTTTCGTAAACGCTTTCAATGTTACAAAAACTAGGTAATTGATTTGCAGATGGTTCAGAAAAATTCATAGGGACAAGAAAATGCTCGTACCTAGTACTGAACTAACCATAAATACAACTTAATGAAAACCACATTAAATGCATGCATTTGAATTATAAATCACAAATAAATATTACACAAAAATTATAATTTATTTATTTTGATGAAATAAATTCTATACAGCAATACATCACAATTTTACACATAATCTTAAACTCTCCACATTTGTTCTTCGTTTCCTATAGGAGAAAAATATACAATCGTCGAACATACATAAAATAAAATTATAGAAATTTTACCACAACAACAAATGACTGTAAAATTAACAAAAATTGTCAAGCTGAAATGTGTAGTATATATATAAATATTTAAGTAATGTACACGCATTTCATAATATATGTACACGTAGAAAGAAAAAGAAGAACTTATTTGTATAGATGATTTGCTATGCTTAAATGCAATGAGCCTAAAATTTTAGTTAACAGAAATTGTAAGTTTTCTTCCTGTGATTGTAGTTTTTGGAGAAAAATTTATGAAAGATAATTTGTAAGTAAAAAAATAAGTTGATTTTTCTTTTATATATATATTTTAAAAATTTTCCCTAATATTCATTTGGCCTTTTTTGAATAATAGCTAAACATATGAATATTTTAATTGAAAATAATGTTCAGCTGACAAATATGATACAACAGTGAAATGCATTTATAAAACCATTTCCTAATAAACTCCCATGCCATTTTTGAATTAAATAAAGCAACTAAGAATCATAATTTTTAAAAAATTGAATTGAAATATGGATTAAATCATAACTTGTTCCAATTATGAAGCCAGTTTAAACCATCAAATGTAGAAGCCGGAAAAAATATCTTCAATATTAAAGGAGAATGGAGTCAGATAACTATGGAGTTTACATTTTTTATGTTTATTTAATGTTTTCAAATTGGAAATCTTATTTTATATTACCAGCATTTCCTACTATTCATTCTCCTCAATTCATTCTTACCTTGTATCCTTTCTCATTGCCAACTTCTTCCTACTATGAGAAATTTCATCATTCAAAATGACTATTGCATTTTTTGTTGATGAAGAAAATACTTGATGCTCAATAATATCTACTATCATTAAAGTTCTTCTGCACTCTCACGATAGCAAAATATGCAACAATTGTGCTAACCAGATTGAATGAATCTTAGAGAATTTCGAGGGTCTTATATTATTATTATTATTATTATTATTATTATTATTATTATTATTATTATTATTATTATTATAATATAAAAGAGTCAATCACTTTGCGTTATTATAAGTAAGTATTACTACTTTTGCAATTCTATGATTCCATATATTTTATCTAATGTATAGTCCTTTTACGTTTTAGTCATTTTCTTTTCCAAGTTTGTTAAAGGATGCACACAACATGATAGTAATAAGTTTGATAATCGTCTGTCAAATTTCAGGAAGTTGAAACTATTCTATGAAATCATTTTTGCTTCGATCATATTTGGTAAGAATATCTAAAAAAAATGATAGATTATGATTGGGCAGCAACGCTTGGATGTGCCCTAGAGTGATTGGATTCAAAATGAAAGAGAAAGGTAAGAAGAGAAGAAGTAAGAGAAGAGAGCTTGGGAGTTGACATCAGTACTAAAAAGTCTAGTAGCCTTTAAAAAAAAAAAAAAAAAAAAAAAAAAACGTTCGGTCTACAAATCAAAGATCCTTACAATTATTTACCCAAAATCTCCAAAAACAAATGAAATCCTAAAATTCCAAAAATAAAACCTTACCTAACAAAAATCACAGCACCCAAAAAAGGTCCCAGATTGAAACCTTAACTTCAAGGAAAAAAAAAAAAAACAACAACAACATGAAAAGGAAAGTTAAAAACATAACATCCATACATGCATAAAAATGATTTGTTTTCTATTATATGATCGAAAACAATTAACTATATGTTATATTTTTCGAAAAAATGTTTCAAAATATTCATCAAAATGAAAATAGATTTTAAGAAAATCGATCTATAAAAACCCTAAAAAGGAAATTCAACTGAGCACGACAGCATTTTAAAACCAAATATGAATTTCTTTTCTTTTGAATTTAATAACAAAAAATAAATTTTTTTTTTAACTAAAATCAGATCCCATTAAATCAAATAAGCATAAAACCATTCGTTTTCCACTATAGATCTAAAACAAATAAAAACTACATCAAAAACCAAATTAATCATATAAAAACCAGCAAAACAGAAATTCCCAACTTTCTTTTCATAATTTGTAAGAATTTGTGTAAAAGAATTAAGTCAAACCATTCATACCTCGCTCGTCCTCGTTGTCATTGCAATTACTCTATCGTTAAACCTTTTTTTTATGGATAGTTGTTAGGGAGTTTAATGTTTTTGTTTTGAATTTTCAATACAGAATGAAACTAAAGAAGTATAAGAGAGATTCAAATTGGATTGATAGAGTCAACGAAGATATACAAATGGTTTGGAGAAAATGAAATATAAAAGATAATATCTTGGTAAATGGTCAAAAAATGTGGGCTAAAAAGTTGAAAATAAGAAAAGGCGTTGAAAACCAATTTTGCTACAGTGGTGTGAAACCTAAAGCTACAAAAATGAATAATAAACTCAAAAAGACTCTTATAAGAGAAGGTAGAAATTAATACTAGATTTATGGGCTTGACAATGAACTCAAGAGTAGAGTATGGGCCCTGGTGATGGACTAAGAAACGGTTAATTTAAAATTGGGCTTTCAGTGAAGATTGCAGATTAATGGAGGCCCAAATAGGCACGGGCTTTGAAGGAATAAGCTTGGGACATGAGGAAGTACATATAATCCAGTCCAATTTTTTTTATTTTCCAAATTAAAATATTTATAAATGTACTAACAAATCTTTTTTTAGTTTGAAATTAAATTTATTTTACAAAATATATATTGAGATCCGATTCTGAGTCTAAACTTTTGAAATTTTAAATGGGTCATTAATAATCAATTATTAATTTATTATCATAAATATGATACTTTTTATACTTTAATCATTGTGAAGAATGTAGGTGACAAATTATTTGAGTAAATGTGATCAATAAATTTGTTAATTTGTAGTGGTAGTGATATTTTGGCTACTGTGGTGTCTCATGGTAGTCGTGTCGGTCATGGAGATAGTCCGATAGTTGTGGGTAGGATGGCATTGAGGTTTGTAACCAATTATTTGATTGATTGTAACCAATAAATAATACATGATCAATTATTTGAAATTGTAAACAATAAATTGGATATTTTGTGACCAGTGTAACCGATAACTTATGACCAATAAATAATATATGATCTAAACATTTGAGTTGTGACTTTTAAAATTTATGATTTGTAATGAATAAATTATATAAATTTTTGATTTGTGATATGTAAATAAATTATGACCTATAAATTTTTTAATTTATGACCCATATAATTTTTTATTTGTAATAGAAAAATAATTTGTGATCATAGTAAAATTGTGTCCTTAATATATTTAATTAATAAAATATTTTTTAATTAATTATTTCATAAATAAAATTTAATTAATATCTGATTTTCGAAGTTTTAAACCTTATTTCTTAATTTTAAAATGGTTCGTAACTAATCTTTTAAATATGAAATCTTCCCTTAATTAATTTCAAAATTATTTAGTCTATCTAGTAAAATCCAACCTACAAAATAATTTGAGCTATAAACAACCTTGATGAAATAAAGATAAAGATAATAATGTAATTGAATCGTTGAAGTATTTACATTCAACAGCTATACAAATTCATTGTTATGCCCAAGAAAATTACAAAGTCTTTATTTGACCAAATTCCTCCAAATGAATGGGGGCATTGCAAACTCTGGTTGAGGTGAAAAGTTTTCATTCCCCGCTTAATCAAATTTTTTTGTGACACGTTAAACTGGACATGACTCGTATACTAATATCAAAGTATCAACTTATTTAGAACTAGGTAACAGAATTTGAACCAACTTCCCTGCACGTACGTGGAAACACAATACTCGCTACACCTCGTCTCCCCACCTCAGAGTGTATATATCTGCCGGACGATATTCATTCGCACCAACCTTTGTGTATATTTTTCAGCACAAGACTGCAGGAACCGGTATTTGCTCATTATCTTGTCCAATCCAAATAAATATCTGTCACGTTGAAACAATGAAGACAAGTCAAGAAAAATCTAGCCGACCGTAGAGTTGCAAAAATCACTTGCCTTAATCAGCTGGCTATTGCGACTTCTGACCGTTGAACCCTGCAAGAAATGCTTGCAGAAATCAGTAGACGAAGTTTGGAGCACTAGAAACAGTAATGCGGGAGACATGAATCGCTATAATTCAGGAGTCAACGAACAATTGATATTCGCGTGTATCAGAGCTTGAATCGAGCACCAGTAGAAGAACTAGACGAGTATTGTTGATTTTAGATTCAACAAGTTTCTTCTGTCAGCAGGGAGAAAGAACTTAAAGTAAAAAGGAATAGAGATGGATCAAAAGGCATGAAAAGTCGTGGCCAATTAAGATTGGCTAAAATGATAATTTTTCCTGCCGAGAACAAAGGATTATCCCAAACCTTGAGGTATTGGCAGTGATTGACACAGAGAAGAAGCCTATGGAGAAGAGAGGAATGTCTCGAACTTAAAACGAGATACTGACAGTGATTGCTACATAGAACAAAGGATGAACTCGAACCTACATCAGAGGTAATGGCTGCTATTGCTACAGAAAATAAAGGAATTCTCTGAACCTAAATCAAAGCACTGACAATAATTACTACAGAGAACAAAGTGTTATCCCAAAGCACTAAATAGAATATAGGATCATTCCGAACCTACACCGAGGCATTGGTAAAATCATCTCAAAACATACACCAGGACGTTGAACAGTGATTTATTACACTTAACAAAGGAACCTTGTTCCTAAACCGAGATCTTGACAGTGATTTTCGAGTTGAGTAAGGCAGATGTTATCTAGTGAAAGATTGAAGAGAGGACAAGGAATGAGATGTTCACTGATGCTGTGCTTTGAGAAGAAGACTAATACTCAGGGCTTGAACCTAAGAATCCTAACTTATCAGCTAAGACATTCATATTTTCCTCTTCACCTTCTTCATTTCCAGCGGCACCATATTCTTCTTCAAAACCCTCATTCAATAAGTCCTCCCAGAATCCCTCATCGAGTTCTTTATCCAAGCTATCGAGTTCTTCAAGTTCATCCTCCAGCTCCCTTTTCACCTTACCAAATCCCTGCATCTCAAGTGCGAGTGCCTCCAGTTCAGAAACTTGGGGACCATAGGGATTTCTCGACTCCTCTCCTTCAACATAACTCAGCCATTGATCAATTGGTCGTCGTCTCTTCTTTCCAATAGCCACTTCAAGTTCTTTCCTCTTTCCCCTTTGCTGCACCAACTGCTGAATGACCTCGGGATTCTGCATTGCTCGTGCTAAGAAATTCATCATCTGTTGCTGCTTCCTCTCCGTCCCTTGTAATCTTGACTCCATTGTTTGAAGATACGCTAGCATGTTCTGCTGCTGCTGCCTTAACTTCATGAGTTCCATCAATAACACGCTCTTATCGCACTTCAGACGATCAATCTCCCCGTCTAATCCAAACCTTCCTACCTCAACACAAGAATCAATAACACCTTGCTGCGTGGACTGATGAGTTGGTGCCTTTCTTCTCCTAATGTTCTTTAACAGATGCTTCTGACCCTTAAGAAATGCTTCATTCGCGAATTCCCATCTATCAGGATCGATCTTTCGAAAACCCTGCAAGAATTAGAAGCACATTTTAGCCAACTTTGAAAAACAAACTATGCTGTCTAATATTTGATATTGATGGGAATCTCATTGAAACCATACTCAAAAGGCTTCATTCATCATCTTCAAGATTATTCAGTAAATCTTCACGAGGGATGGATCCACAATCAGATAACCTTTAGAAAAGAACGAATTTGTTTATAAGGACAATTGTTACAAGCTTAAGATTGTATCAGAAGCAGTCACAGAAATGAGGTAAAAAAAAAATAAAAATCATGAAGAAGTCCTATAATTTGCAATCTATAAATAAACCATGTTTCCATTCCAATGTGCAATATGCTTGCTAATTCTAGAAGTTAAAACATCCGAAGTCCCAAAATAACCAGTTTCGCTAAACAAGAGTTCAGTGGACCCTCCAAGGAAAGAAGAGGGGGGGGGGGGGGGGGGGGGCTCAAACATAAAAATGAAGGAAAAGAGAGCTGGTTCGCCATTGTGGTTGCTAACTGTACATTAACAGTTTTCATTCCACTGTCGTTTGGCCCAGTCTCATTCTTTTTCTCTTTCTTATTTTCAATTATACAATTTTTTATAAAATAATATTACACGCAAATAAAAAATATTTCAATTTTTTTTTTCAATCACACATTATTCAAAAAATATTATTCCAATCATTAAAATTTGACAAAAATGAGAGCGAAACAGGGGCTAAATTTTGCAAATCTCAATGCAAAAGTTGGGAAAAAAGAGTTTTGAGAAAGAAGTTTTTGTGATGAGTAATTCCAGGTGTAAGGAAGAATAATTGTCAAGCTTCATAGAACTCTCACATGGGTGTGGCCCCATGTAAATATTTAATTGTAAAAAATAAATCATCCACCCCATCCATTGTTGTGTGTTGTTTCCGTGAATAATTTTTTTGTACATCTAGACTGGTTCGTTTGTGATCACATATTCACTGCCGGCAAACTATTTCCTTTTTTAAGTTTGAAAAATACAGTACCAATATTTATAAAGAGCACCCCCCCCCCCCCCCC